TCTGAGTGGGTCTCCAAGGAGAGGTGGTCACCTCTAAGCTATGAAATTCCCTAAGTTTCATGTTGCCTTTAAGCGGGGATATGCGTCATAAGATATGGTTAAACAACTTCAACAGGATGAGACACGCTTTTCTCTCTGCAATACCTACTGTACAGTATGTGCGCAGCTAGCCACACCAAATAATGGAAGGCACAGCGATTGATAACCCAGAGTTTGATTATTAGGGGTAGCAGTAGTTCATAATACATACACAATATACTAGTATAGCAATGTCAATGTTTTAGCAGTGAAAAATGAATTATATGACTATTCAGCATCACAAATTAGAACTTGCCTGTTGCAGATAAGTCAGAATGACATTATTTTCAAGTCATTTTTTTTTCTTATTGAATTACAAATATATTAGGAATTGTGTTTTTAATTTTATTTCCCTTAAGGCACACCTTTCAGTCCATTTTCAGTGACCAGATTAGAGGACTGTGCAGAAGTAGAACCACACCCATCAGGACAAACCAGAGCATCCCAGAGAAAACATGGACATAGGGAAAACATGTAGACTCCATAAAGAAGGTGCCCAGTCCACAGTCAAATCCGGAACCCAAGGGCTCTGAGGCAGCAGCACAAACTGTCATGCCACCAAAAACAGTGAACCCCCAGTTTAATGGACTTTCTGAGCAGAATTAATATTTAACATAGAGGAGTTTTATCTATAAATTAGCATAGGGGTAGGCAACACGCTTATGATTAGTTTTGTTTTGTGTGCTTTAGTGATTTGTTGTTAAACAACAACCATTTTAAACATACACCAAGATGCTAATAATAATATGTACAAATAATAAAAGAAGATGAAAATAAATACTACTGTACATGCTGTACGTTTAGAATTAAGAAATATCAATGGTACTTATAGGGGAAGGTTGATTGCTTATAATGTTTCAGAAGCTTTAGAGAATTTTATACACTATATTCCTGAGACCTTGTACTGTATATTTATGATAAAGAGCCACAGGAACAGTTTTAATTGACTCTGTTGATTGTTATTGTTAAAAATAAATCAAAAGATCCAAAGAAACCTACAGTATATACTGTAGTATACAGCATATAAATATTGTTTTCATATAATATTTTATATAGTTTTGGAGCTAAAAAACATAATTCATGATTAAACGTACATTTGGCAATAACTGACACTCCTTCTCCCTGTAGCCTGTTAAACTGAGGGTTTACTGTATTTGCACAACATACATTTTTGCATGATCTGATTGAGGCAAAACTTAAAGGAACTGCTACTAAATCTTTTAGAGCAAAAGGTACAAGTCTTTATTTTTTCTTTCAAATCAATACCATTTTCTATTAAGTATATGTGAATTATTTCTTAGGCAAATTGACTGCTACCTGCTATTTTTTTTCTCAAAGCTGTAACAGCTAGAGATGTACAACAGATACTTTTCTCCTTTAAATTTAACCTGACATTTAAACACCAGTGCAAGGAGATAATTACTAGTGACACTATGTCCCTAAACCTGCACACTGTACAGTTCACACTTTATGTAGACTAGAAAAAGCCACGTTGTGTGCATGCTGGTTTGTGTTTCCCAAATGCTGTGAACAATTCATTCTAAATAAAGAATGGGCTTTTCCCCTTCCATTTCCTAGGATGAAAGCCTATGAACATTAATACAATGTAAATGTTTTGTTCTATATTAATTTTCTACCTATTGTTTCTCAACATTCTCTTTCTATGTAACACTTAAAGAGAATGTGTCTCATTAGTCTGTAGTCTTTTTATATTACAATGTATAGTACAATACAGTTAAACAGGGTTTCAATTTTGTTTCTGTAGGGAGTGTTTATACTGCACATGTTAGAAACCATCCTTATCTTTATGGCACAGAAAGCCTGTGCCTCTGGTTAACTTTGGCAAATATATGACTAGAATTTGCAGTTTTTCACAAACATCTAGCATATTAGGTTTCTATAACATATTATGCACAAGAATAATGCATTCTTACAGTGTGTGATACTGGTCTGGTCATTTTGAAATACAATTATTTTCATTTTTTCCTTTGTTCTAATCAATTCAATGTTTTTGGAAAGTGTGAGTATAATATTAAGGCCTCCAGACAAAAACCATGCCAGCTGGCATTCCAGGAGCTTCTTCTAGTTTGTCTGCTAATGAGCACACCTCAATTCTGGCCTGAACACCCTCAGCCTGGCTGTCCTGAACCACCCCTCCCCATGTAGGCTACTGGGTGCTGGAAAAATGCTGAATTGCAGTAACATTACAATGCTAATACATTAACTGTAAATTACTGTAAAATCATGGCCAAAACTGCAAGCTCCAAACTCACAATTCAAGAGACTTTTGAAGTTGTTAAAAGAACGTTTACCATTGTGTGCATATATGATTCTTGCCATTGGATTTAATGCATAAAAGGTATAATTATGTATAATAAACACATACATGTATCACAGTGTCAAAACCAAAGGGTAGACTGTTAAAGCTTATGTCAATGGCTAAATATAAGACATTATGATGAAAGGTTTCACCTGTCTTTTTAGAAATAGCATACAATATGCACTTAAAATAATCCTGATATACTATATAGTAAGCATAAAAATTGTACATATCTACAGTACAGTATTTGTGTTTATTATTCTCATTTATTCAAATTGAGATGTTTTTAAACAAATTAATGAGCTGTTTATTTAAGCACTTGTATGTGTGTATTTTAATTTTTCTAACCTGATTACTTTTTTCATCTGAGAATATTCAGAATTACTTGAAACATTTGTGATGTGATTAAACACAATGTGATCCTGAACTGACATGACCAGATTGAGTGATTCACTGTGTTCATAAGCACAAATCTGAATCTTAAGATTTGCAACTGTGAAGCATAAACTGTAATACACATTATATGTGAAAGTTATATTGTATTGTATAATATACAGAATATTTACAGATTGTGGTTTAAAAGAAGAGATGTAAACAGTTGAGTGGCATGGTGGTGCAGCGGTTAGCATTGGTGTCTTGTCTAGTTTGCATGTTCTCTCTTTGTTTGTATGCGTTTCCTCCCACTGTCCAAAGACATACTGATAGGTTAATTTCTGGAAAAAATGGCGCTAGGGTGAGTGTGTGTATTTATGCCTGTGTGTGTGTCCTGCGATGGACAAGAGTCCAACCCACCAGGGTGCTTTCTGTCTTGCTAGGATAGGCTCCAGCTCCCCTGAGACCCTGTATTGGATAAAGTGGTTACAAAATGGATGGATGTTAACAGTTTAACCAATAATAATGACACTGTTGGTTTATATATTTTTACATACATTTTATTAAAATTCGAAGGTAACCTGTAAACAGATTTTTGCCAAAGAAGCTACTTTGTTAAAAAAAATGTACAGTACATTTCTTTTATTAAGCTAGAAAGTTTATGGTCATATTTGTTGAATCTGTTAAGGTGAGGATGAAGTTATGAATAACCTGAGAGACTTTTTTTTATTTGTTTCTGTTTACTCTAGATGCTTGCTACCTCTGTAAAGTGATCTACTCACATTCCAGATCAGCAGTACTCCTCATATCATGCATTCTATGCAGGATTATCTTTTTAAGGGTCTAATGTACTTTAAGTGTTTTTAAATTAACAACTGCAGGTCCTACTGCTGCAACTGTAGTACTAGTGCACATTTAAATAATAAGCCTTATTTAGAAATCATTTGTTTTTGCATTGCATGACATATTTATTGACTTTTATGCAAAATGTTTAAAAATGAAGTATTTATGAATTTCACAAGCTCTAGACTAAATTTCACCTATAAAACTGCAAGTATTTAGATTAGTTATTCTAAGTGCCAAACATACATAGTTAGGACTTGCATTAGTAATAAACAGCTTACATACTATGCCTTGATTTTCTTAAAGTCTTACCTTAAGTGTAAAGGTAGTAAAGTGTGTAAAGGAATATAATTTTTAAGGTGGGTTGTGCAACCTTTTCATTTATCGTTAAAAATGGAATGATTCGTGTTGCCCGTAGTAGGATCACTTTGAATGATCTCCACAAGTAAGCTATTCAACAAGAGGTTGAAGATTATATATAAAGTATATAGTTTTTAAAAGGTAATTATCATTCATCCAACCTATTGTACTGTAGGTCACTTTCGTAATCGTATATTATTTTTATGTCAGAGGCTGACTAAGTTTTTCATGTCATATTGGATCTTGAAATGCAGAATTGATACTATATGACTCCAGGTGAAAACGTTATTTTAAATATTAAGGTCAAATTTTATTTTACATACTGTACATAATTTTACTTTCATATTCCCGTTCACGGTGTGAAAATACATTTTGATTCATAGAATGAGAGAACGTATCAACCTGAGTTGTAGTTGAAATGTTGATGTACTGTAACAATGAGGATCCTAACATTTTGCTTACTTTTGCTAATATCTGAACACGTACTGTATATGCCGATCAATGTAGTAACAATGTGATAAATGTAATGTCAATGTCAGTGTCACTGTAGAACCTGGGTTTTAATTTTATTTACAGGTAGTGAGTGGACATACTGTACTGTACGTGTGTTATAAAAAGATGTTGCGTTCTTATGAATTGTCATCAATTACAACCGAACAACTTCGTCAATTCAATACAGTATATCCTCACACAGGTACCCGCTGCCCGTAGCTCAGGCAGCTGATGAAAAGCACGCAAGGTGCATTGTCGATGTTCTTTTTTTTAAAAATCCTAGTAATCTTGTTCTTTTTCATAAAAAAATGTTTGAAAGAACTCCATCTTCCCTTATGATAGCTCGGGTTCAGATTTGTAGTTGCATAATTTTAAAACGTACCATCGTCTCGCAAGCAAGTGTAGAGGTGAGGTGTTTACATTGTACCTGGAACGTGTGTCTGTTGTAAATGCAGTCCTCCCGCAGAAAGAATGGTAGCTTCCAATCTGCTACGCTTGAGAGCTCCCAGCTCTAAGCCTAGGATTGGATGTCGTTCTCATTCAGACTATGTTTCTGTTTGGTTTTAATCAAAAGAAAAGGTTGTAGAGGCGTATTAAGCTTTATCTTTCCAGATGCCACTCATATGCATGGCAAAGGAGGGCAGATGAAGAAGCGTTGCGGTCTGTTTTTGTTTTTTTTTTAATACCTATTTCTTGTCCCTTTTATCTTGCTAAAGGCAGAACGTGCTACAAAGTGGAGGAATTATTTTACCTGTAAAAGAAAGAAGCTCTCCGAGGGCTTGAAAAGTTTCCTTCGTGGAAGGATGATGTTTTAAAAAGGACGCTGCTCTAAAAAGGTAAGATTAAATGTTTGTGCATTTAAGTGCTGTTATTCTTGTGGAGGTTTTGCTTTCGCTGACCATCTATTGCTTATCAAGAAGCACGGTACAGCATCTCTTCCCTTAGTTCAAGTAATTCCCAGGATCAATTTTTGTTGTGTAGAATGTTATAACAGGCTATTGTTATTTTACAGGCTCGACATCTTTAGCACATTTTCAGTATAGTCACTGTTGTTACGTATTTTTAGTGCAGTTATTAATACTGTTGTTTTGGGATTGCTGAGCATGTACAGCGGACGTGTTTGAATATCTCTGTCATAACTAAGTAGACCAGCCCTCTAGTGTAATGCATTCTTTTACAAGGATTCCCTTATTTGAGGGAAGTGTGAGAAGACGGGGGTGACAATAGACCTGAGAGTATGTCATTTTACACTGCAATTAATAAACCTATTTTGCATGAGTGCGTCGGTTCTTGCATAAAGCTCATGACAGCCTGGCATACTGTATCACTGCTGAAGCAATGACTGTTGAGGGGGCAGTTAAGGTTTTCGCAAACGTAATGCTAGGCAGTACTGCTGTCCAGCTCTAAGTGCGCAGCGGTAGTGTGCTTCAATCACCTGCTTTAAAAATTTTGGCCTTAGTATGCAATGCAATTAACGCCAGGCATTCCCTTTCGCCATATCATTTTACATAAAAACGGTCAGTGGGTAAAATAAGTTATTTGCACTTCAGAATGATCCAAAGGTTTTTTTTTCCCTACAGTATAAGAAACGGGAAGACGAGGAAAGCAGTGTTGGCGTAGGAGCTCAATTGTTTGTTGTATTCATTTCTGTTGGGGTTTGTCGGATACATTTTATATTATTAAAGGAGTAGTTTCTGGGGGCGGTGTTCAATCACCTAGACTATCTACCGTTGCGAGAAGTGTGCAGCATACCCCAATCCCTGCTGCGTTTGTTCAGAGTCAAGTGACCCGTATGATCTGTCAGCCTTTTTTCAAAACGTTTAATGAGACGTGAAATGCACATTTTCCCCCTTTATTTTCCAATTATGTTTGTGGTTTGAAGGGTCTTGTAAAAATGCATGATAAGTTACAAGCTCACCTGTTCTGCTCCCTGTTCTCCTTATGATAGGAAAATTATTAACACCCGCACGACATTTTATGAATCAAAATGTTTACAAACTTTTCAGCAATGAATGTAGACTGGTAGAGTGGTACAACTCTTTCCAAATTCTTTAAATGTTAACCTCATCTTATTAATAATGCCATCAATAATTAAGCACATGTTTTTCATTTGAAACCCTGTCCAAAAAGTGACTGCTGCAGCCATTACGGTCTAAGGATTTCATGATAAGATTCCAAACTTTTATTTTTGTTAATTATTTTAATGATTGGGGAACATTAAACATTCTACAACCTTCTGGAAAATAGTACAATTATTGTACTATGTACAGTAAGATGAAAACAAAAATCTTTGAACCTATTAGTGGCTGCTGGAATAAAGTTATCCGGGAATGAGCAGCTGTCTGAAGGCAAATTGGGCAATTCAAAGTTTGGAGTCTCTACTTCACTTTTTCAGAAATTACATGTTGATGGAGCACTTTTCTCAATATGTTAGTGTGTTTAGATTGTTCACTTCAGGTAAATTAATACATACAGTAGGTGTCAACTGTTAACGTAACTGTCATAAAGTGTTTTCAAATCCCAGCCTTCACCCAGCCCCTATTTTCCAGTCACACAGTTAAGATTGGTTGGGGATTTACTCCTTTGTCCCCAGCAGAGTCCTTGCTTGAATTACATATCATTCTTGCAAGTTCTTGTGCAGAACTTGGCTGGGTTTTCTGTGCTGGACTCTTTCCCCAGCCTTAATCATAGTCCAAATTGGACAGCAGTGCGTGTCACAAATAATCATCAAACAATTTGTCAGTCTAGCTTGGCAGAAGTCTGTATCTGTATGTCACAGGAGTGGCAGCGTATCAGAAAGGAGTCCGGGAGTTTAAGCCTGACTGTAAGCCCATAATGTGTTTGTTTATATCATCCATTCTATCTCCTTCTGTTACAAAGGGGATGGTGGTGAGAAAAATTGCGTGCAGTACATTTCCAAGTCTGACCATTTCTGGTACACAGTCATTTCATGGAAATAGTTCACATATATATACAGTATATATTACTTTACCATTACTTCTATAGCATATTTGTTGTTTCTGTATTTGTTGGTTAATAGTAGATTCATACAAAACTTTTTAAAGATGACTGTCAGTGGAGTGGGCAGATGAAGACAAATAGTTTATAAAGTACCCCAGTGAAATACTATGCACTGTATGATGCTTATCTGAGATGCATTTTCCATTGTAATTTCCTTTCCTTCACCTTTGGGAAGTCTTCTCTGAAGCTGATGGTGCAGTAAACATAGTTTGCATGGCAAATAACAATGTAAGCACAATCAATATAAAGGAAGCCTACTGATCATATACATTATAGTTTGTGAAACAGTAAATAAAATGACATGAACAGGCAGGTGCTATAAACTTTCTTTTATTGCATCTAGGAAGGAGTAACAGTATAAATCAGGGTAACTGCTGGTGTAGACAATTGTTTTTACACCAGCTCAGCTCAGTATTTCTCAGTGCCTCTCTAGAATGACCAGGCAAGATTATTTTCAGAGTCAATTGATATTCGAATGGTATAATGTTCTCCCATAGGTTAATAGATTCATTGTCTTAGGCAGACATTCTTTTACATATGATGCATTTGACTTTATTCACTATTCAAAAATGTTTGTTAGAAATTGTAAGGTGCTTTTGCGTAAACCATTGCTCTTATGTACTGTAGGTTATCTAAAATTTGCATTACTTGGCATGCTAGATGCTCAAAACTTCAGTACGTGTGAACAAAGCTTCTAATTAGAGCACAGCTTCCTCACCTGTTTCTGTCAAGGGGCAAAGAGTACTACACAACTGAGCGGCAGTGTTTCACATTGAAGAGTTAAATAATCCCGATTAGAATAAAATCCTATTTGCCTACCCCAGCCCCAACTTGATAACTCAGTCAGGACAATGTTGTAGCTGAACTGACAGTAATACACCCACACAAAGCAAAACCAGAGCTCAGATGTGTATTTAGAAATACCCTGACATACAGAACAGACCACCTACACACATCCAATTAGGTCTGGCTGTCCTGTGATGTCTTTAAACAAATGTCTGTATTCAGAAGGCATTTGACACTGACAGTAAAAGCCATGCATATAGCCAGTCATCAATCTCAGTTAAATCAGCATGACTGCATTTAGCAAATTACCATCAAGTAATTTAGCTTGCTAAATGACCAAAAACATCTTGCCTTCTTGATTCAAAAAGGTATACGGGTATATTACCTGTAGAAAAAAAAAAACTCTTCAGCATAGTAACACAACCTGTTGCATCAGCAGTCTTTGAGCTTCTTAAGTAATTCATGTATATAAACAATATACAGTATCTGGAACCATTTTCTGTCAGTGGTAGAGCAGATGAGTTAGATCTATTAATCTTTAAAGAATTACAAAGATTCTGTTGGACATCTTGCTATAATTGTAAATCTTGTGACAAAATTTTGGACTTCATGACATTATACAATTAAAGGATACTATGCAGTGACATCAAGGCATGTTCATGTAACCATAAGAGTAGTATTTTAGAAAACATGGTTATTTTTTTTTCCAAAATCCTTAATGTATTGTATGGTCTCACTATTTTGTTTAATAGTTCTGGTCATTACGCTAGAAAAATTGCATCGGTCTGGAAAGAGATCTGAGCATAGCTAAAGTCACAGATGAAAATGTATGCATTACATTCATGGTTACATGACCAAACAGAATCTCTCGAGCTCTTTGGACAGAAAAACATGTGCAGATTTAAGTAATTCAAGTAAAGTCCAAAATGACCAAATAAACTCAGACCACTATTTCAGATATTGTATGCAAACCAGTAATAGGGACACAATGAAAATTAGATGCAAACATATTCAGGAGTGGCATTTCTGGTGGAAATCCTTTGCTGTTGTTAGTGTATGGAGTACACAATCAGATCATACCATGAACCAGTCAGTATATTTGGATACTTCAGTGAAGTGTTTGATTATTCCAGAATCCTGAAGTCTGAGCTGAATGGCCTCTGTTTGTTTACAGTGTCGGAGACTTCTAGTGATTTTTTTGGACTGCATAGATAACCTTATACTATTTTAATCTTATGTTAAAAAATGTGAAGGATTTACTTTTTTTACTCCTGTAATGTGAACATTACTGATTTAATTTTGTTGTAGGAAAAAGTTATTTTGTCTTCACATTGAATATTTCTTAAAGTGTCTTCATTTTTGCTAGTTATGTTGTCCTTAGAAGAAAGATTTGTGTCTCAGAAGACGTTTTTGTTATATTTGTGGAAAGAGCTGGCATTAAAAAAATGTAAGCCTATGAATTTTTTATGCTTATAAATCAATTGTATGAAGCTAGGTGAGGCAACCACTAGTGTGTTTACTTTTTAAATTTTGAATGTAAGAACAGCAAATTGCCAAGAATTTTCTACATTTCGATTTAGAACACTTTTGAAATCTGAAGAGCTCAAAACAAAAATGTGAATGTGAAACAGAAATAAATTATCTTTGTTTGTATTAACATACTGATTGAAGATCTTAGCCTTGGGTTCATAAACCTTCACATAGGGAGCACAATTATTTCAAAATTATTCGAAGCCTTAGTATTTGCTTCTTTCCTTGACCTTTTAGCGTCTGTTTCCTTGGGTGTTCCAGTATTGTTTTGTCACAGTGTTGGCCAGATTTGATGATGTATTTTGTTACTGCTCTGTGCCGGCCTGGTGTGATTAATATCTACTGGCAAGACATTTAGACAGCGGCTGAGGAAGCACAAATCAGCTCCTTTTCTGGAATAACTACAAAACTGTGCCCTGGTGTTGTCAGAACTCCATCTCCTGTTTAGCCAAAGCACTCTTGGGGAACAAAATCTTAAAAAAAGGAAACAAAGTTTGCT